GATAGCGACAATTGTCGATAAAACGTTTAGAGAATCTCACAACAGGTCGAATTTGAACATATATAACAGGATAAAGTCAGAATCATAATTGACCTACGTAAAACTAATTAATTGATTAATCTATGGCTGGGACGATGATAATATCTTAGTCCGAAGAAACTAGTTCTATCGGTCGAATTAATTGCCTTCCGGCTTTTCAGGCATCCTCTAGTGCGCATCACATGCTACGCACTGTTAATATTATTGTCAAGCATTTAGTCCAATTATTATTGTCATCAATTTTATCCTCTTTATGTTCATTGTTGTCACATTATCAATCCACGTAGTCAATCGTGGATTCCTGGATCCTTAGATCTTTGGCAGAATCTCGTATTCTTTCGGATGTTTATATCTTAAATTTATATATTTGAATTTTCTGAGAACCTTATCCGAGCTTGCCTTATGCTTTTATATACCTGAATATCCCCAACTTTTTATTTATTTATTTGCTTTCTTGGATTCTTGACTATTTATAGGATTAGGGCGATCGCTTTATCGCTTACAGCGCTTGTGAACATCAATTGTCTTTGTTTAATATTTAAACAAGGATGCTTAAAGCGTTGTGAGCGCCAAAGCGAACACAACCTAGATCTTTAGATCCATTGATGTTCAAAATCTTCATTCTTTAAATATCCATAGATCTAAGGATCCAAATGTTTTGATCCAAGGCTATCTATCTAAAACAATATTTTGGGTATATCCACCCAAGTCCACTGGACGGCTCCTACCGCTAATCTTATTGTGAATTTGACGTTAATCGCAATCGCTAAAGAGTAAATGTTTCATCGTTAACTTATATAATAGGCAATTTTCTCCGCGAAAGATTACTTTTCTTTACCGTCCACGCGACGCGCGATTGTGTTCGTTCGAAAACTGTATGCAGATTGTTGACTAATATGCTTCGGTATTCGCGAAGCTTCGAAAGCCATTTTGCATAGTTAAGAAACTCAAAATTGCAAACAAATTATATCTCTCAGGCGGAGATACATTTAAAAACATTCTCGAATAAACATGTATACATATTTATCGAGAATACCTCATCGGTACCAGTTAACTCCTAAATCCTAAACTAAACACCTTTAATCAGAGTTTTTTTAAATAAAGATTTAAATTTAATAGTTAACTATTAAAGATGATCAAAAAAGAAGAAAAATAAAATTAATCTTCTATGAACGTATATCTCCGTCTTTGAATTATGAAGGAACGGCTTCTATCGCCGAAGCTTACGTTAATTGACGCAATAGACAAGATCCTACCACGCGGATGCGCTGACTACAAATCGACCAGATTCACCAAAATGGATTGCAGCCATTTTCGACAAAACGGCAACAGCAGCAGTCGAAAATGGTCGTCACAGAATGAGATAGAGCGTTTCTTGAGACGAAATCATCCACGGAAACGCGCGTCGCGATCGAGATTGATCCTAGGTGAGATCTTCATCTTCATCGTCACTGGGACCGCCCGTAGGACAGCACAATCCTTCGGAACCATCACTCCTGATGCAAAACAGCAATGTCTCAGCCATTGTCACTTCATGCGGCATAATTCCGTGGAATTCTTTCAAGTCCGCCGCGGGGAACCAGGCCTTTTCGTTGTCGTCAATGATGAGAATTCCAAAATATCTAGAAAGGATCATTGAAGATTGATAAAATGCATATAAAGTAAAATACGGTATCATCACGGTTGATCAATATTAATATTATAATGTTAATAACAATTAAAATTGAAAGACTGCAAAGATTAAATCAATAAAGGAAAAATAATGCCAATAACAGCCGACACAGTTGTACGTGTGTAATTTAAATAACAGATGTTTCGACACTAAGGAGGACCTAATCTTATGATCGAAACATCTGTAATTGATGATTGACACATATTATATTTAGATTACACACATACAACTGTATCGGCTCTCATTGGCATTATTTTTCCTATAATGTTAGTGTTATAATTAATGTTATTAATTAATGCATAATAATTAATATAATATTAGTATTAAAAGAGTATTAATTATATTAGTATTAAGAGTATTAATACCAACCTGCAAATAGCAACTGCGGGTATCCATAAAACGGAAGTAAGAATAAGAATGGCGATGAGCACTAAAGCCCAAACGGGCCATTCCTGTCTCTCCGTAATGCCTTTACTCGCCACCCAGGCTGGATAACCGCTTCCTTCGAAAAATATTTCGACAAAAGACGCAATCAAAATACTCAACATCGCCAATGGACTAAGATACTTCCAACATATTAACCAGTAGAGGCCAGGCCGGTTGCCGGTCATCAATTCGATATCGTCAGCGAATCTGGAATCATCGCAAATACAAAATATTTGTACCGATAAACACATCTCTGATCCTTGTGCACTTACCTCTTCAAACCGTAAACATAGGACACTCCTATACATTCGAAGAACGCAATTATGAGCAATGGAAAGTTTCCGCTGAAACTATCGAACAGTACGAAGACGTAACTGCCAGCTCCATGAGCGAAGGCCATAGAAATTATACAGCACACCAAACAAATAACACCTGGCATAAAATCGAATTTATTTTAATGTATTAAAGACAAGAATATAAGGGGAGGAAGTAGGAGTCAGCGCAATACTTTGTGCGCAAGTATAATCATGGATATGTTTAAAAGTCCATTTTTAATATAAAAGTATATAATGTCGATATAAAATCCGTACGCGTTTCGACTTACTTCAAGTCATTCTCAACGGAATTAAACATAATAATTCTATCTTGTGCAAGTAGTGCATCAACCATGGTGCCAACCATCCAACATATCAAAGAGATTCTTTAGATTCATCCTAATTTACTGGCCAGAAAGAAACAAGTAATTCTTATGAAGTGAAGCTATAAAAAAAAATTGAGATTGATAATATCAAAGAAATATATAAAATTATTTGTTTTTTAAAGAAACAACAGGAGAAAGTAGATTGTCACTCATCGAATTGATGCAACTTACACATACACATACAGTAGTCAACCAATTGGATATAATCATATAATATATATACTTATTTGAGTAATTAAATGAATTAATAAGTGTGATCCAATTTAATAAATTGTTTACACAGAAACAAATAACGCGTGTCACCGCCGATTATTTTAATCTCTAAAATTTTTGAATAAATCTCACTCTGAAGAGTGAAACCTCACTCTTAAAGATTGAAAATTAAACTACTCTTTTTCAAGACTGGCTTAGTTTTCTCTCTTTAGAATGAGATTCCACTCCAAAGAATTTAAAGAGTAGGGAGGGGAGTGAGACCGGGGCTAAGTGGGCATTTGAATTTTAAGTGGCAAAAATATATCTTATGAATTTCCAATTTATATTGTAGGTGAAATCTCGTGTGTCTTCTTTACCAACGAAGTTTGGTTAGTTTAGGTGCGCCGCGTTATTATGTTTAGGTAGTTAAACGTGTTTTCGATAGTCAAAAGTAATTTTTGAGATTTAATTTTCCGAATCACATCATTTTTTGTGTATATGGATGAAATGAAGTTGCAAACACCAAAACTTTTTATTGCCATCTTGTAGTCTTATAATCACTCTATAAAACGCTACTAATCATTTGACTAAAATCATTTACTTTGTTATTGAAAATTACAATTGAAGAAAAGGTGCCCACTTAGCCCCGGTTTCCCCTATCCATTACTTCTTTCGCTATTCTTTTCACTATTGCAAAAAATACCTGTCAAAATCTCCTTTCTTAAATTCGGGAAGAGTTTCATATCGACGATGCTAGTAACAACACCTTCCAAAGTACCAAACTGGGAATCGATTCCTAAGGTGAATAGCATCAGGAAAAACAATACCGACCAAAATTGAGCACCAGGAAACTGATTGATCGCTTCGGTGAAGATGATAAACGCCAAACCTGTGCCTGACGCCGACTGTAATTATTGTAATCGTTACTCATAATTAACGTTAAAAGTCCCTTTTATACTCACGTTATCTAACTCCTTCTCCAAATCGCATTCGGGCAGTTCTGGCATTATCAAATTATCTAGTGATCCATTTCCATCTGTGACATTTAGCAGCGTACCAGCAATCGGGATGTCTTCAGGTATTTTATCGACATGACCGAATATACTCATTAACGTGTTATTCTTTTCCGATAAGCATTGTTCGTAAACCATGGTAGCCTTAAACCCTGTTCAAACAAAATCAAAAGTGTACTTTCTAAATTCTTTAGAATGGAATCTCACTTTAAAGAGTGAAAATTGAGCCAGTCTTTAAAAAAATGGTTCAATTTTGAATCTCTAAGAGTGACATTTCCTCTAAAAGTTTTAGTAGAAAAAGTAGAAATCAGAAATTTCCAGAAGAAAAAAATCACACGTACCTATGATCGAAAAGACGACGATTCCCGCGAACATAGACGTGAAGCAATTCGTCAGGCTGACCATGATGGCGTCACGATAACAATTATTATTCACTGGGTTGTACGAAGAGAACGCTATCAGACCGCCGAAAGCTAGGCCTAAGGAGAAAAAGATTTGCGTTCCAGCCTCCAGCCAAACTACAGGATCGGTCAACGTCCACCACTAAAACGCAAAAGTGAATCGGTAGTTACTTAAACTTTGTTTATTAATAATTTGAATGTAAAAAGAAATTATGAGAACGCACTTTTGGAGTGAAGAGATGCCGCAGACCGTCCGACATACCCGTCAACGTCACGCCTCGGAAGAAGAAAATAATCAGGACAATGTATGGAAACGTGGCGGTTACGTATACGACCTAAAGAAATCAAACTGATCACTTGAAGAGTTATAATAACTAATTTTAACTATAAAAGCTCCTATACCTTGCCTGAAGACGCGATACCCTTAATCATGCACATGTAGACGAGAATCCAAGCGATAATTAGTGCCAGAGCAATTTTCCAATTAAACACTTCTGGGGTATTTATGTCCTTAGATATCATCAGAGTGGTTCGATACCAGAAATATTGCGTAGGGCTACTGACCTGTTGACCCAAGTCTCACATTATAAACAAAACCGAGCTTAATATGCGCACAAATGCACATAGGCAGTGGAATGATTTATATTGTATCGTATTAAATTTTGGTATTACCAAACACTCAGGTTCAGGTGCGTAAGATCCATTTTGGAAATACCTATTGGGACACTCTGCCCATGGTAGTTGCGATTGGAAACTCTTTGAACAGATTCAGATTTCTATGAGTGATTCCGCCCGACATGTCAATAATAACGAAATTAAGCAGATCCTAATTGTTTACCTGAACGAAATAAAATAGGCACCAGGCGATAATTGTATTGTAGTAAAGAGCCACGTTAAAGGAGACTATGGCACTGCTAATTCCGATGCCGCCCATATACGGGGATACCTTTCAAGATACAGTAAAAAATTTATCTTCAAATATTTGCTTCAATTTATTCATTTGAATTTTTTTCTATTCACCTGATTCCATACTCCAATAGCGCCTTTTCTTAGTCTCTGGCCGATTGCCAATTCTAAATAAAATATAGGAATACCCTCGATGGCCAGCATCACGAAATAAGGGATCAGAAAAGCGCCTATAAATATTAGAACTCGTGGTTAGAATTGTACGAGAAAAAGCTTGAGCGATCTGTACGAAACGAACGAACCTCCACCGTTCTTCTGAGCTAGATAAGGGAACCGCCATACGTTTCCAAGGCCTACTGCATATCCTACTGTCGCCAAGAGAAATGTGAGCTTACTATCCCAATTTTCACGCTCATCTTCGCCCGCTTCCGGTCGAAAAGTCGCCTTGCCATCATTGTTGCCGGGGCCGTTTCCTATTTTGTTCTGTGGATAAAGCCAAATTCATTTAATTTCATGTGAAATTTATTCGATGTGTCTCTTGCAGAAGGATGACCATAAATAGTCATGTACCTTGTTAGGGCTGGTGTCTTCGAAGGCCGCATTAGTGGCCCCGTAATTGACAGTGGCGACGTTCTTCCGATTATCCACCACTAATCTACCACGCATCTCTTTCATTTCGAGCTTATCGATGCTTTTCTGGGGCTTTAGATCGCGGGAACTTTGCCGGCGAACGAGGTGAGCCGTGTTCGCCATATCTTCTCTCTTTTCGTTTTAGTCTTTTTCAAGTCAAATCTCGATTAAACGAAAAGATCTAGGCGCTTCATCCTGTCAAGAAAATAATGGAAATGGTTATTAATAAAAGATGAAAACGGACACTATACAAAGTGGTCAACAAAAATCACGTATAAAAAAATTATAAATTTTCCTAAAAAGAAAAATAGATGTTTGTGATAATTATAAATTAATACAAAATTAATATAATATAGTATATTATAATATATGTATAAATATATGTTATAATAAATATAAAAAGAGAAATTATATTAAAATTGTATAATTACGGTGAGTCAATAATGCGCTATTTGTGATCGTTATTATACATGCTCGCGCGAATTTATTATAGTTTGTTGTTTAATTGTGGTCAACTTTAATTCTTTCATACAGAAATTGTTCATATGTGTACACTCTTATGGGTTCAACTTGTATTGATATGTATAATACATACATATATATATATATATATACATATATATACATATGATACTTTCACATAGGTATCAATCAAGCGCACATATCCTTTCCAAATACATACGTGCCCTTCTTACGTAAATTTGCGTATAAAATATCCCTTATATAAAAAAAATTGATTGAGAGAACTTTAAACTGGAAATTGATTTTTGCTTTGACGTAGTTGCACGTTCTAGCACGCGTGCACAGACGCAAGTTTCATTAAATTTTCTACGCATATTTGTGAGAGAGAGAAAGATTCACTTTTAATAAAATAAATATATATGCGTATATATGGGGCCTTTCGATGCATGTGTAACATCAACGTCGCACGCGAGTCTTCCACTTCACTGTACGTATTAATGATTGATATAGAAAATCCGAATTCCTTTTCTCACATAAGCGCCGAGACGACTTCATGTGGACGTACGTATATGTCCGTCACGAGAGAGAAACGTCGCGCGGAATCGTTCTGGTTCGCTTGTCTTTCCGTCGCGAAGCAGAGATCAAGGAAGTAAAATCTTTTTACCCACCTGCCGGGACCAAAGGGGGAAACGCGCAAGGACCTTGTCCGCGGTCGAGGAGCGGTTCGCCACTGGTGACACCCCCACTGGTGTGTGTGATAGTAACTTTTGAAACCACGGATATATCCAAGGGAATCAATAGCTGGCGTCGGCGCCTGCGACGCCTCTCTTTCGTCCGCGACTCTCTCGCGGAACAAGAAACCGCGCGCGAGCACTTCTCCAAGAGGAAGCACTAAGGGTAGGGAGAGAAAGCGAAGGACGGGTCATAATAAAATTTATCGTCATCCTGGAAGTTAACGCGTAAATCGTGATATTATGCACGCGAAGTAAATATTAGAAATGCACCGGATATCCGATATTTGGTATTATCTGGTACTTTTTTACTATCTAGTCGGATAGTCGGATATCAAGTATCGAAAATTTGCGTCATTGATGCAGAATTTTTATTCTGTCTAACGCTAACCCCTTGATCTTTTTTTTAAAGTCATGTATCAGATATCTGACCGGATATCCGGGGAAATATCCGGTACCCGGTCGGATAATATATTGCCCTATCGGATATCCGAAAAAAATGTGACACCGGATATTTAATATTCGGTAATATTTAACGATCCAGTACAGCTTAGTAAATATATGTATAATATACATATATATGTATATATGTAGGGGAGCTCATCATGACAAGACTTTTACTCACAGTTTATATATGTTAGTTTGTGTTGTCTCTGAAGAAGGCTCAAAAGTGAGCCGACACATGTAAGCGCGTTTAGTAGAATAAAGAAGAATTTACGCTTTATGAGTGTATTATTTGCGCGACGTCTTCTGCGCTTGATTCCCATTGCCCTTATTCTTTCCAATTACTTTTATATATATATATATATAAGCTCATCAAAATCCCAGGTCTGTTAGAGAATACAAATTTCAGCAAGAGTTTTCTGTTAATGTCTGGCTTGGAATTTGGAACGACGTTTTAGTGGGACCGTTTTTTTTACCTGCAAGATTAAATGGGGACCGTTTTCTAAATTTCTTGGAGAATGAATTTTCTGACTATTTAGAAAACATCCCATTACAACAACGTACTGAAATGTGGTTTCAATTAGATGGATGCCCTGCTCATTACAGCAGAGTCGCTAGAACCTGGTTAGATAGAAAATTCCCACAACGATGGATTGGACGTGGAGGAGCAGTACATTGGGCAACTCGTTCGCCCGACTTAACGCCATTAGATTTCTATGCATGGGGTACTCTGAAGCAAGAAGTTTATTCTTCGCCTATTCAATCAGAGCAACATTTGAGAAATCGTATCGTAGCTGCAGCGAACAGAATATCGCAAGAACAGTGCCTGGCTGCTACAAGAGCCGTGTTTGACAGATGCAATGCTTGTATTGCTGCAAGAGGTGCACATTTCGAACAAAATCTTCATTAAAAAGTTTATAAATAAAATAATTAAAATAATAAATTAAATATATTTTTTTCTTTTTTCGTGATTTCCTGCGAAACAAAGCAAAAAGGAGCATATGTCTATAGGACTTTTTTTCTTAGTTTTTTACTCCTCTACACGCTCCCGAAGTTTTGCCATTTAATTTGGAAACACCCTGTATATACACAGGGTGTCTCATAATTCATCTGACAGAGCTCGTGGACAAGTAGAGCTAGATTAAACTGAGACGGAAAGTCCTCTACCATTTTACAATTTTCGCAATAGTTAACGAAATATTAATCTCCAAAGAATACCGAATACGCGCATCCGCCCGGCTTATTGCTGCTGAATATACGGCCCACCGATCGGATCGCTTGGCGCGCGGGTCACGGGAATGACCTGGCAAGCGTGTCCGGCGCAAGATAAAATTTTGCTGATTGTTTGAAAATTATGTATTTCCATGTAAAATTGATCGCTGAATGAGAAAAAAATTTTACGAAAAACTACATAGATTGAGACAAGATGTTAGAAATTCTTAATTTTTCATAGATATTCATAGTGGAACGTGAAGTGACAAGTGTTTTTAAAAAACCAAGAAATCCTTCGCCCTCAAACAACGACACTTTATGTCCCACTACGAATATTATATCTACGAAAAACTAAGAATTTTTAAGACAAACAAGCCTCATTCTACATCCTACTACAAATATCTAAGAAAAATTAAGAATTTCTAAAATCTTGTCTCAATCTATGTAGTTTTTTTTATACTTTTTCGTAAACATTTTTTTCCACTAGGGAACGATCAAATTAAAACGATTGGAGCAAAATGATGAAAAAATGCATTTTAGTTGAAAATCGCTCAAATTTCTTCTTTTTCGGCTCTTTCTATGATTTTCTTTGTGAATATTAATGAGAAAAAGTATTCTGCATAACTTCATTTAAATGCAATATATATATATTTATTACTTGTTTTTTAACAAAATAAAGAAAATTAAAATATGATAGCAATAAGGCTCAACAAATTTTAAAAAAACGAGAAAAGAAAAGGCTACGCGAGCCAAAGTCTGTCGTTAAAATATTTAAAAAGTTAGTAAATAAAACATACAAAATAGACAAAATTTAAAATTTTAATAACATATGTCAATTATAAACAAACAGACGTTTCGATCCTCATCGGATCATTCTCAATGTTAGCGCATAATTAAAACAATTTATTTGAAAATTAATATAATATTCGCTCTCAAAAATTAAATGATATTAAATAATTAAAAAATTAAATTCGATCTCACTTATAGTTTAGAAGCTGTTGTCAATTTTTCCATTTTCTCCAATGGGTAAAATGTGACTTCGAGATTATTAAGGTATCACGTTGGTATCGATTATAAATTATCAAGAATTATGTTAAGTTGATAGTTACATTGTATAAAGATTGTTGGCGCAAGATTATTGTTTCTTAAGTCAAGAGTTAGTTTTATGTGAGAATTTCGATCAAAAGCGCAAACAATTGGAAATTTAGACAATGCGAAGAGAGTAAAAAAGATCATTTAACTTAAAAGTTCTGAGACAATATATAAAGAAAATTAAAATAAAGAGAATTAAATTTAAAGTTATTAAAGTTAATTTAAATTTTAAAGTTAAAAAATTTATTAATTAAACATACAAAAAAACATTATTTCGTGAGAAAAACGTTTGCTTTGGCATTTAATTCTGATCTTGTTGTGTGTCGCGTCAAATCGATCAGCAGTATTCGCTATAAGCATATGTGACGAGAGTCATTTCTTTTAAAATGTTGTTCGATTGTAGGAATATTTTGATGAAAACGCTCGCTATGTTCGTCATTAAAAATCGCCTAAGTTGTCAGGAAAGAAATTCAAATGATTGTGCAAAAAGTGGATTTTCAACGATATATTGACTCCTATTTTACGAAATGCAACAATCATTTCGGCTACAACTTTATAATTTTCTGTTATTACCCAAAAAATTGTAAAAGTAATAACCGCGTCTATACAACTTTCCATGATTCGTAAGCGTTGTAAGCCTCAATCGGACCGCAGCTTTATACGCAGCTAACTTCAAAGGAAATGCGTTATGACTTATTATGACCGCTTTTATAGAAAGGTCGAAAATTTTAAGCAATTCTGATATTTTCACCATTTTGCTTTGCTTCAATTGCTTTAATTTTATCATTTTCTAATGTAGTGACTAATTTCATATATATAAAATATATGATTTTCAGACAATTGCAAAATTTCATCTTGCATTGTGGCCGAAATAACCTCTTTAAATGTGCATAAAACTTCAAATGTACATAAAAAAACGTAAGTTATTTGATATCGCGGAACGACACGTACACTTGTATTACATTTTATCTCTAATTTGAATATATGTGAAGAAAAAGAATTATTTTGGTTGCATACAGTTATCTTATATCAGTAATCAGTTACACTATTCTTTATGTGTAATAGAAAATATTTATTAAAAAAGCAGTTTCCATACAGAGAAGGAGAAAGTAGAAGGAGAAAATAATTTATATATATATATATGTATAAATATTTTCATTTTCGCATAATTTTATCCACTTGAACTTCCTTGCTTCATTGGATCCATGTATCTCTTCCTTTCTAATGAAGACTCTCCTTATCCAAAAATTGCGTAAAAGCGAGGATTTCTAAAAAAAGAAATGATTTTTGTTAAATCTTCCTGTACATAATATTTGAATAAAACCCAAGACACAATGCGAGGGAATAGCGATAGGAATAACATAGTTTCAACCTATTAGAAACTGTGTATTTCGGTGTATCCGATTTCTGATTGAAATCATGTTATTCCTATCGCTATTGCTATTCCCTCGCATTATGTTTTGGACTTAACTGAACCTAAATATATATGTACAACCCCGCAAACACAATAGGGTAGTAAGCCTTAAGAAATTGATCATTCATAATTGAATGTGAGAAGAATAATCGACTATGATTGGTCAATTCCTTAAGGCTTAAGGCTTATTACTCTATTGTGTTTGCGGGGTAACCCCGGATCTACAATAGGTGTTTTAAGCCTTAAGTTGTAAGCCGATCTACAATAGGTGTTTTAAGTCGTAAGAAATTGACCAATTACAGTCGAATTCGAGGAGAATAATCGACTATGATTCGTCCATTTCTTATGACTTAAGGCTTATTGAAACCTTATTGTAGATCCGAGGTTAGAGATACGTTCGAAGCAAATATACTAGCAAATTCGACGTACTGCACTTTGAAATAATGATCAAAGATGTGATTTTAACCACTACCGTATGTATATGTATCCGTACAAAAATATCCGTAAGGGTGCAACCATAATAGAAGGAATAAAAAATGAAGATTTCAACCTATCAGAAATCGGATACACCGGAATACACGGTTTCTGATAGATTGATTCTGTAAGGAATCGTTTTCCTTATTCCTTCTATTGTGGCTGTACCTTATTAACGCGTTACGTTACGTTAAGTACTAACCTTAGGATGCTATTCTGTACACGCTTATGCCTGTTCTACAATAGGATCGCAAATCATAAGTCGTAAGAAATTGGTCAATCACAGTTGATTACTTTTTTCATATTCAACTGTGATTGGCCGACTTCTTACGGCTTACTAGAGTCCTAAGGTTTGTTCGCGTCGCATGTTCCAATATGCTCCTACCATAGCTCTTACTCACTCCAACGCGCTTGATAGAGTGAGTAAGAACTATGGTAGGAGCATGTTAATAAATATTATATTATTTTAATTTTTCATATAACATTCTAGGAATATTTTGCGCTTATAAGGAGAATTTATAATTCATTAATTATCTTTAACATTATATGTAAAAGCCAATACGATCTAAAACGGAAGGGACGGTATGTGTGAATCATGGTGGAATTAGAAAGGTGACCCATTGCGCATAATGGCGGAAGTCCCGTAATCTGAAATCTCGACCAATCATAAATTGAGCTCATTTGTCGCGTGAACGAGTCATGTGAATTTCTGCGAATAAGGAATCCAATCAAAAGAATTGAAAAACTGCATTTCCTATTCAGAATTTTGAATTGAGGAGTACTAAATAAGTTAAAGTTTAACCATTAAACAATTACAATTATATTTTTCAATTTACGATAACGTATTTTAAAACTGCCAGATGATTATATATAATTGTAAAAAAGAATCAAAATGCATTCGGATTGAAAAGGATTCATTTAACGTTCGCGAATGAGTTTTTCTGAAGAACTGAGTCCGTTTCAATCCATTCTCGTTTACTGGGTTCATATATGTGGATATATTCTTTTAATAGCTTTTATTACTTTTATTGGATGCAAAAGAAATGAAGAAATAAATTACACCTACTATTTATATTCTTCCTTCCATGATCCTCTTCCACAAAAGAAGAAATCAGATTGTTAACAGTCTCCTCTATCTTGTAATCAATTGATTTAATACAATCACTGATACGAAGATACCTGATGCATACAAAACACGGTAAATTAGATATTATATTAAGAAATTTATTACAACTATTCTTAAAAAGATGAATACATGTTATGAAAGAACTGATAACCCTCCATAGCCCACTGCAGGAGTAGTTCAAGCACTGGTCGATAAGGTGTTCCCTTAATTAATTCTTGCATTATTTCGTCCCTTAAAGATATCTTGCTTCTAGCGTTTTCTAAATTAATCAAATAATTCTTCAAATCCTGAAATCGTAGATTCAAATGCAGGGTTGGCAGGAATCGGACAGTGTGATTTTAACCAGTGATTTTAACCGCCCCGGTCAAAATCGATTTTGGACACCTGGTCAAAATTTAAAAATAATATTTTATCCTGTGCATTACTATTAACACAGTTTTTAAGTTAACTGATTGAGACTAGAATTAAGATAGAGATGAAAGAATAAAAATTAGATCAAAATAAGTCAGAAAATTTTATTATATATTGTATATCACGTAGTAAGTTTAAGCGAAACAAACATTCTTATTGCATACATAAAGAATATAAAAACAATATAAAAATAGAAAGAAAATATTATTTTTGTTATTAAATTATTTTCTGTCAGTGGTTAAGGTGCACTTTTAGAACATTGCACTTCAGTACTAACTACTCGGGGAAAAAAGTTTATATATAATTATATATAATCAGTGTTGGGCAGTATCTCTATACATGTATCTAGATACATGTATAGAGATACATTTTGTGTATCTAACCTGTATCTGAGGTACATTCAAATTCAAGTATTTGTATCTGTATCTAGATAAAAAAACATAGCATCTGAACTGATTTTTAGATGCATCTTTCAGATACATTTCCTCAGCATAATCATAACTCCATTTTATGTGTGATTGTCGATTGATTCCATTCTGCAGAAAAAAAGGAGTTTTGCTGTTGCAAAATTCTATAACATGATTGGTCTTTCCCTTAATTCCTCACTGAATCTAAATGCAAATCAGTCATTAAAGAATTTTACAGTTACACAGCTGCTTTTTCTGCTGAACGCAACCAGTAACCTTAGATTGTGGAATTCTAACGCATGTATAGTTAAGCTGGAAACACAATGTTTGAAGCATTTTTAGTTTGTAAAATTACAAACTATGATGAATAATGATGAATAATATCGTCAGGGTTGGAAAAAAACCCGGGCTTTTTTAAAAAAAACTCAACCCACACGCACGCACGCACGCACCACTGGGTTTTATTGGGGTTTTTTGGGTTTTTTTTTTGGTAAAATTGATTATTTGATATTTTTTTTTTACATAATATTTAGTTTATGTTGTATTTATCATTATTCACTATCTTATTATCACTACCTTAATACTTTTATATGCAGAACGATTAGTGGGACCATAGCGTATAAAAAAAATTATACAATTTCGTTTAAAAAAATGAAGGTGACCTATATATCTTTTTAGCGCTTCCACTTAGAAGAAAGACAACATGACCAAAATACGTCCCCCTTGAAACCATTCCACTTTCATCTGAAACATTTTTCCTATCTCCAAAACTGTGGGTGTTATTCGGGTGGCCGGTCTTAAGTGACTTACCCTGTATACATATATCTTAAAATTGGTATATGTTAAAATCATCACGTCAGTTATAGTTTAGTATACATATATTCATTAAATATTTATAAATACGTCCCTTTTGTGTTTAAAAAATTTATTTTTCTACAATTCCAATAAAACCTAAATTAATTGATACACAAACATTTTGTTAAACTTTATTTATACTCATTAAAAATTGCAGACTTTCCTCTTTTCAGCGCAATTTTTGTTTTTTCAATAACTGAATATCTTCGAAAATGACAGCTGATTAGTTTTAACATATTCCCATAAGACACCCTGTATATAGTCGTATATGAAAGCATATATAATTATATATGATCATACATGGGATCATATATGACATATTTTGCTATATATGAATCATATATAATTATATATAATCATACATGGAATCACATATGACGTATTTTGCTATATATGATCATACATGGGATCATATATGACATATTTTTGCTATATATGAATCATATGTAATTATATATGATCATGTATGACATATTTTTTCTTATAATATTAATATATGTATCATATATAATTACATAGCTTAAATTCATATTCTTTTATGTAATTTTTCTGCGAGAATGATGCCTTAATTAATACATTATATACACATAGACGTATTAAAAATTTTATATATAAATATATTTAAAATTTTATATTTAAATATATTTAGTTTTCCATTATTACGATTTTAGTTATGCGTGCATTAAGAGTCAAACTTAACAAGAAATTCCTCTATTATATCTTAAGGTATAATAGAGAACTTCCTTGTTCAGTTTGATTTAATGCACGCATAACTACATCATTCTTATCATATGGTAAGTACGCGATTTATGATTATATAAATTAGTTGACGATAAGTGTCAAAACGCTTGTATCTGTACATTAACATAAAATTTTTCTACTATTTTGCAAAAAAGATATAAAATTTAGTTATATTAATTAAAAAAAAATTTTTTTTTAATTAGTTATTAATTTAAAAACATTGGCGAGTGGTCGCTTTCCGAGCGGTGCAAAATGTAATACCGCTTGGAGAGCGATCACACATACACACACACACACACACACACATTCGCCAAAATATTTTTTAATTAATATATATACATATGTATATGATCATATAGAGACAAAATCCATATATGATTGTGCTATGGTCAAATATAATTATATATAATTATATATAAACTTTTTTCCCCGGGTGCTAAAACGAAATAAAATACTCGGGTAATCTGGACAATCTAATATTTAGTAATCAGTAAAATCAATTATATCATTGAATTTTTTGCTTTTTATATTTAAAATTTGATACATTGTTACCAATTTTGGGAATTGGCTGTACAACGCACACTGTGAGAGCACTAGTATTATAGATCAGATATCTTTTAGAGAGGTAGGAAGAAAAAAAAAGTTAAAGCTAGAAACGGTGGAAACTATCGAAGCACATTAGGCAACATCTGATGAGCTTGCAACAATAAAAAATCGTTAAAAGTTCTTAAAATACAAAAATACATTTTGATTACTGATTTTGACCGGTTAAAACCAGTTTTAACCACTGGCTAGGTCAAAACAAAAAAAAGTGGTCTTTTTGCCAACCCTATTTAAATGTCGTGTTTTCTATATTAATTTGCAGAATGAAGATAGTACCTGATTTGCATCATTAAATTGCGTCAGGATATTCAAGAGAAATGCAATTTCTTCCTCGAGGCCCATAAGGATTTTAAATATCAGTCTTTCTCGCATTTCCTGATCTATGCTATCTTCTGCTCCGTCTATTTTTTCACTGCACAGCAAAGAAAATTAATCAATTAATCGACGTTAAGAAACCGATTTGTTTTCTTATATTATTTATGAATTAGATTATTAATTTACTTTTACATTCGAAAACTATTATTCAAACTATTCAAATTTTCATGATTGTGTCGATATAAGCGCTTTGTGCTTGCACTCGCATAGGATTAGGTAATTGTCCCAGAGAACATTGAGATGTCTTATAAGACATCATAAAGACGTCCTAAAATTCATGAGACATTTTTTTGGAAGTACCTATCAGAATGACGTCTATATGACGTCTTTGAAATATCTTATGCATCGATTTATGATATCCTAAAGACATTATCCTTAAGACGTCTTACAGACTTGTCCCTTATAACGTTTTATAGAATTATATCTTCATAACGTCTTACAGATATTATCCTTATGACGTCTTACAGACATTATCCTTAAGACTTGCTTCACACATTTGTTTAAACAATAAAGATAAAAATTACTGATATGGAAATGCATTGACAAGAGGAAGTATATGAAGCAGAAGTTGGAATTACTTGATAAATCGGTATGTGAATGCAGAATCATACTTAATACATATTTTCAATAACGATCCATAATTGTGACAAATAATAGATCATTATTAAAAATATATCCCAGTAAAAAATTTTTTATACATCAATATGTATAAAAATATGTATAAATATTCATAAATATTCATAAACATAGAAAAATATGTCCATACATACATATTCATACATCCCTCTTTCTTAAATATGTATAAATATTCATAAATATTCATAAACATAGATATAGTCATATATGAAATGTCCATTATATGTACATTCCTCTTTCTTTTGTAAAATTACTTTTTAGTGTAATACAAATAACAATAGTAATGTGAAAACATAAAAAATAATTAAAGGGATAATTTTCACATTGTTTGTTTTAAAAATAAACAAGTTTGGAAAAATATTTAAAAAAATTGCTCACAAACAATTATGCATAATTACATACAATTATACATAAGTAATTTTTTTACATTTCTTTAAACCTGATTTTTTCTAAAATAAATAGTGTGAAAATTATCCTTTTAATTATTTCTAATGTTTTTTCACATTACTATTGTTATTTCTATTACATTAAAAGATAATTTTACAGAAGAAAGAAAAATGTATGAACATGCATGGACATATTTCATATAAAATTATGTACGTTTATGAATATTTATGTATGTTTATATACATATTTATACATATTTATGCATGAAAAATTTTTTTATATTAAATATGATATCATTTATATAACGATTTATCGGATAATTCCAACTGCTGCTTCGTTCTATTCTTCCCCTTGTCAACATGTTTTCGGACAGCTTCGTATAATTATGTAATTGTAGAATACTATAATATAATACAAAAGATAATTATACAGTTCAGCACAATCCTCATAAATCGATAAAATTAAGCTTATTCAACGCGTTTTCACATAAAATCTGTCACAGCCACGAATACTGCGATGCAATCATGCGCTGCGGTCACAAATTCGCTACTTTAAAACAAGTTCTCTGCTCTAAAACACAAATTTACTACTTTAAAGCTGATTCCACAATGAGTCGGTAGTCGGTAGTCCTAAGTCTTATCGATGACTCGATGAAGTTGGCAAACAGCCAACTTGTACGACTAAGACTATCGATTTTTTTAAGACTGACCAAATTCGACTTTCTTATTACTTCCCATTAATCGAATTAAATGACTCGCTGTACAACTAACAACTAGTAGATAGACAAAAAATCAGTCATCTACTTAGGTTAAAACTAGTTAAAACTTAAGATTTCCGATTACCGACTCATTGGACGCATTCAGTACTACGAGTGCTCAATGACAGCGCTCACTGAGTAAAAAAAGAGATTAATCCCTTTTTTACTCAGTGAGCACTCAGTGAGCGCTCAGTGAGTGGTCGTCGCTTCTGAATGTACCCATTGTAGAATCAGCATAATGGCCATTCTACAATAAGACATTAATCATAAATCAAAAGTTAGAATAGAAGCTGGAAATTGACGACTGTAATTGGTCATTTTCCAGCTTCTAACTTCTGATTTATGACTAATGGCTTATTGTAGAATGCGTGTAATGCGTAGTTAGAGAATGTATGGCAGACGACAGCACCGCGGAGAAATGCGATCGCCAGAGAAGCCAATTGTTGTCCACTTACTTCGTGACATGTCGCAATTGCTCCGTTCGATTAGCTAGACCTTCGAGCGATCTCTCAGCCTTCTTCAATAATTCTCTCCATTTGTCGTCCAATCTTTCTAGACGTAAAAAGTAGCGTACGAGGCACGCATGAAGCTCTCGTGCCATCTTTGAATTCCCAAGTGGAGACAGTGCCACAGCAGTGATGCGAATTCCGGGCCGCTTGCAGCATGCGATCAGCGCCACCGCTCGGCGACCTGGCGCAACTGGTAGCAACAAGCACGAACCCGTGTCCGTGTGACTTGGTAGTTAGAAGCGTGCTGACTATACTCTAACCTTTTCGCACTCGTTCAGAGTATAGTCGGCACGCTTCTAACTATCAAGTCACACGGACACGGGCTCGTGCTTGTTGCACCGGTTGCGCCAGGCCGCCGACCGATGGCGCTGATCGCGTGCTGCAAGCGGCCCGGAATTCGCATCACTGTGCCACAGTGGAGTCAGTGGAGTCATGGAGTGTTCAATGACATATAGGCTGCGTTCCACTTAACGCTCACAACGCTCGTGGAATCATTTCATCTTTGTCGTTTATCAAATATTACACAAGGACAAACGATGCTCGCGAGCGTTGCGAGCGTTAAGTGGAACGCAGCCATAGACGGAGCTGCTATTTCGGGCAAGGGAGGATGTGATAATCGGGGTAAAACGGGAGCCATCCCATCATAGCCTCCCTCTTTTGACGTCGGCTTATTTCGCCGAGACTCGCTAACATTCGGCTACTTCGCCTCTTATGCCCGTGTCACACTACGGATTGTGGACGCGGATCGGAATTCAGCCAATCAAGACAAGGCAGTTTCGGATCCGGATTGTAGATTGCAGAATAGACGGCTCTCTATTTTTGCGATCCGTAATCGTGATCCAAGCCAATAAAACATCGAGTTTGGTCACGTGACCCATTTATGATGGATGAATAAGCATTGTTTGTTGTGGTTACCTATGTTAATCATAGGCTGCGGTCCGTTTGACGCTACAAACGCTTCGAAGCGTTTGAGCGACCAATCAGAACGAAGAATTTTACGAATTGACTAATCAAAGAATGTTTCGAAGCGTTTGTAGCGTCAAGTGGACCGCAGCCATAGAGACGTGTTTATAGAAAATTAAAAATCGGGACGTCCCACAAAATTCGGAATGCCATTAGCCACCCTATACACAGCAAACGTCGACGACACTGTATTAACGACACGACATGTGCGATACAGCAATTATATGTTGCAAATTGAATCCGTAGTCCGTAGTGTGAACGAAGAATCCAAATCCAACGATCCGCAATCCCAATCCGATCCGCGTCCACAATCCGTAGTGTGACACGGGCATTAGGCCGGAATCAGATTACGCATTGAAGATTGAGGTTGAAGATTGAAGATTGAAATTTGACCAATAAGGACAAAGAAATTTTAGCTCCTTTCGTTTCGATTGGTCAAATTTGAATTTTTCAATCTTCAATCTAAATCTTCAAATAGTAGTCTGATTCCGGCCTTACGGCTGTGTTCCAAAATTGACTGCTAGTAAATTTGGAACACAGCCTACATATTTATCAACGAAACGATTCTCATCTCATATCTGTTTTGGTCTGTTTACGGCACTTTATAGCAAAGTTACGTTTCTAAAAATGAGTTTTTGCGTTGTTTTTAAGTGCAAAAATCGGACTAGCAAAAAAACGAGGACCAGTTAGAGATGGAAAGAATTTTGAAACGAAAGGTGCATTCACATGCAAGCGTCGAGCATCAAGCAGCGGAAACAACAACCAATCAATGAAGCGATTTTTACAGGTGATACAGGTACAGTGACGTAAAAATATTTTTTACACTAGGCTTACTAGGCTGCGTTCGGAAACATCACCCGGGTGCCCCCGTGTATCATTTTCTCTTTATTTAACATTGGCTGCGTTCAGCAGACTCAACAGTTTTGCAACCGTTTTATGATTGTCTGCTGAGATAGGACCATTCTTCTATATCTAAAAGTATGATCCAATTAGCGCGAAGGAAACTTACAACAGTTGCAAAACAAACGTTCTGCTGAACGCACCCAGTGAATGAATAACAAGAATGAAACGATACGCGGGGGCACTCGGGTGATGTTACCAAACCAAGAAGACTAGAACTAAGGAGGATCAACTCGCGTGGTGGGGGTGAGTCAAAAAACGTCCGCGGCTATTCACACGATGTGCAGGGGCACTGCGCATTGTGTGAAAGTTCGATATAAGAGCGACAAAGTGACGATTATAGAACGATAGAGCGACAACTATATAGAGCGACAGAGAGGACTAATGAAGCGCAAGAGTGGGGGAAGTTATCCGTCGCCACTTTTTGCCTCACCCCCACTACCGCTATTGGCACGAGTTGATCCTCCTTAGTTCTAGTCTTCTTGTACCAAACGTAGCCCTAGCTGATTGCTTCCGCTGCTTTTGACGCTTGCATGTGAATACACCTTTAAACGTGATCGCATCGCAAGCTCCAACATGCTTCAACATGCTCCTACCATAGCTTCTACTCACTCTATCAAGTGCATTGGAGTGAGTAAGAACTATGGTAGGAGCATATTAGAACATGTTAGAGTATGCGCCGCGAACAAACCCTGTGTGAGGTTCTGAAGACATTCTGAAGTTGAGATTTGCGTGCTACTTGGTTCGAACGTGAATTGATTCGGCGAGTCGAAAAAAAGAGAATAATCTTGCGGATATCGTGACGCAAGAAGGAAAGGCTCTTTTATCGCGAACTCAAAATGAAACTCAGCTGAACGACATTGTTGTCTCTTTTCACACGTCTGTGCATCGGCTGCAGGCTATCCATCCGCCTGTCTGTCTCGCTCCGATATTGTCGCGTACAAATTGTAGACAATGCAAAGCGTAATAAATTCTGTGAAGGGTACTGCGTTGGGCGTCGCCGAATACTTGACGCCGGTACTGAAGGTAAATTCTCATCTGCTTCCAATTGATATTATGTATGTTGAGAGTTTCGAATAATGACATATTTCAGCTTTATCCGCGCTCGAATTGTCTTTAGATCTTAAAAATTCGTAATAAGACAATGTGAACTTCCTCACAAATATAAACCAAGATAAGCCACTTTCATTATTCATACTTACCCAGATAGCAATGTGTTTGGCATGTTGCTTGCTAAGTATGTATTGCTATTAGAATTGCAGCAACTGAGTCCTCATTTGTTGATAACTTGATGCCTTTATGATATGATAAAAGTTGCCAGTAACATAAGCAATCACAGATTTATGTGATTTTGCCAAGACACACTTTGCTATTTGGGTAATAAACACAATGTTAACAGTATGCCAACATATTTTAAGGAAGTATTACTTCAGCAGATTGATATTAATAATACATTTGCATTAAGTTTATGATCTATTGATTTATGCTTGTTTCCACCCATATAGATTAATTTTAATCTCGGTTCAACTTATTTTTCATCTTTTTTTTAATTTTTAAAACTAGAAAAAGATGAAGAGTTAGGCCAGAATCAGACTAGGCATTGAGGCATGTTCTGATTTTCACCTGGGTGTTCCTTGGATGTCACCTCATCCTTATTTAATGTTCAGTAAACAAGGATGCCATGATATTCAGGGAGCATCCAGATGGGAATTCAAATATACCCTTGAAGATTAAGATTGAAGATTGAAGAATTGAAATTTGATCAATGAGGACAAAACAATTTTAGTTTTTATTGTTTTGATTGGTCAAATTTCAATCTTTTAATCTTTAATCTCAATCTTCAATGCATAGTCTGATTCCGGCCTAAGTTGAACCGAGATTAAAGTTAATCTATATTGGTGAAAATGGATATTAATCTGACAACAGAAACCGAACGAATTTGTCATATATATATATATGTATTTATTTATTTAAACGATAATATTCTATTCGATTTCTGCAGTAAATCCTATCATTCTGTTAACAGATTTTTTTACTGAAATTTTATCAAAATTTATTTAAATTTTGTTTAAAATTTATTTAAAATTTATTGTAGTAGATATTTTACAGAATGAGAGTCGACGCTGTTAATGATGCGATTAATTAAAATAAATAATTTAATATTAGTAAATCTAAGAGTTATATAACTTACAATCACATTCAAGAATTTTCAACTATGTTTGAACATTTCGACTCTGAATTTGAGTCATCCTCACTCAACAAAAATAATATCAGAAAGTTAATGAAAATTAGTATGCTAAACACGAAACACAGTATTCATTAAGCTTTTTGATACTAATTTCGTTTAAGGTGACTCAAATTTGGAGCCGAAACATTCAAATATAGTTGTGTTGTCGAATGTGATTGTAAGTTATGATTAGACTTAATAATAAATATCATATAATTAATTTTAATTATGCACCGTTAATAGCGTCGATTCTCATAGCTCTTGATTCAACTATATACTTTATTTTAATTTTTGAGAAGTCATATTCTGGAAGGAGGAATCATATTCTGTACATAGGCTTGACTACAAAAACCGAGCAGAATCTAACAGAATCTCTGCCATATATTATTATCATTTAAATGATGTGTCCCATTTAAACAATTATTATATATTCTGTAAGCAGATTTTCATTAGCGTTCTGCCAAAATTTGTAGCAGATACTTTGCAAAATTTGTTGTCAATCAATTTGGCTGTCTAAATAGTTTTCAATGATTTCTTTTACTTAACTCTTTTTTTATTGTATTATTATTTATTGGACATACTGGAATTGACTACGTTAAACAATTCCACTAATCTGATTTAATAATATTCGTATAATAGTTGCTTTGAAATGTATACTCGATTACACGAAGAGGTTTTAATTTATTTTATCATAGACTATTTAAAATTCCTTAACTCCCAACATTCTAAATTTTTATTATATCTCCAATTCCAAATTTTTATTATATCTCTAACGTAATAATAATTTATATTGAATTAAACTTATGTCTAAACTAAAATAAAACTTATTTTTATTATGCCACAACATAATTTTAACTTATTAATAAGAATCTTAATTCTTTTTTTAGACAAATATTTTTTAACAATTTTATATTAGATAAAATTTCTTTTATGAAGCGCGGCGCGCGCTCTTTCGCGACTTTTTAATTATTTTCAGTCATTTTAAGTTAGCACTAAAATCGGAAATGCATATATTTTGATACTACGATATCTAAGGAACAT